TATGGTTAGGAGTAAAAGTCTACCTGTTGTGAGCTCTTATGTAATCCTTATATTAGCTTACATGTTGTGGGTCCAATTGGTAGCCCATTCTAAAGGTAGAGAAGCAGGCTGAGCCAACCTTTAGTGGCAATTTAGCTAAAGTCACAGGCTGTAGGAATCAAAGGTTAAACAGAAGGGAGACTTCTCACTAAAGCTAGAATGCAGACTCCATGCAACTTTGAGAGTGCCTAGAGAACCCTTGGCACAAAATAGAATACGTGGTAAAACCCTGTTTCTACTAAATACACAAAAATTAGCTGGGCATGGTGGCACACACCTGTAATCCCAGCTACTCGGGAGGCTGAGACAGGAGGATGACTTGAACCCAGGAGGCAGAGGTTGCAGTGAGCTGAGATTGTGCCACTCCCCTGCATCCTGAGCGACGAAGCAAAACTGTCTCAACTTAATAGCCTGAGCATAAATCAAAACTTTGTAAATCAAGGACAAAGGTCCTAACCTCATAGGATTGTTTGGATTAAATAGCATATGCTGTGTCTGACACATTATAAGCTTATAATAAATACTAGATGTTGCTTTCTTATTCCTTGAATGAATAGTCTACCTTTAGTTTAAATAAAAGAAATTCAGTTGAAAATGTTTTTTTTAAATTAATGAAGTCTAGGAGCTGATTCTTTTGTTTCCTGAATCACATTTCCACTCCTATGCCAATCTCATGGGGTTTTGTTTTGTTTTTTGTTTTTTTTTTCTGTTTTTCTTTGTTTTTGGGACAGGGTCTTGTGCTGTCCACCCAGGCTGGAGTGCAGTGGTGCAGTCTCCAGGGCTTAAGTGATCCTCCTGCCTCAGTTTCCCAAGCAGCTGGGACTACAGATGTGTGCCACCACACCTAGCTTGGTTCCCTCTAATTTCATTTTCTCTCTTCGATTACAATCTATTTTTTAACGAAATTAGATCATTCGTTAGGTTTTCCAGAGTTTGGATTTTGCTGATTGCATCCCTGTATATACATAAATTCCTCTATCCTGTATGTCCTACAAACTGGTTGCTACAGCCCTGGAGCCTTGATGATATTCAGGATGTTTTGTTTTGGGGTTGGAGAGCAAGAATACTTTATAGTTGGTAGTGTGTGATTCTAGTAGGAGGCACAGGGTACCTGGGTGTCTTTGCAATGTTTGTTAGCAGCTATAATAAATTAATGTTTCATTTTTTTCTTTTAATATATAATGAGCTGGGCCAGGTGTGGTGGCTTACGCCTGTAATCCAAGCACTTTGGAGGCCAAGGCGGGCAGATCATCTGAGGTCGGGAGTTCAAGACCAGCCTGACCAACATGGTGAAACCCTGTCTTTAAAAAAAATATATATATATATGTATATATATATAGTGAGCTAATAGATTGCAACTTTCTTGCTGTTTTTAATGATGAATCTGTTTTCTCTTGTAGGTTACCATAGAGATGAATGAACCAGTTCAATTAACTTTTGCACTGAGATACCTGAACTTCTTTACAAAAGCCACTCCACTCTCTTCAACAGTGACACTCAGTATGTCTGCAGATGTACCGCTTGGTAAGATAATAAATTGGAACCTTATTTTGTAGGTAATATATGTGATACTCATCAGTAATTAACTATCTTCCTGTCATTCAGTTGTAGAGTATAAAATTGCTGATATGGGACACTTAAAGTACTACTTGGCTCCCAAGATCGAAGATGAAGAAGGATCTTAGGCATTCTTAAAATTCAAGAAAATAAAACTAAGCTCTTTGAGAACTGCTTCTGAGATGCCAGCATATACTGAAGTCTTTTCTGTCACCAGATTTGTACCTCTAAGTACATATGTAGATATTGTTATCTGTAAATAACCTATTTTTTTCTCTGTTCTCTGCAGTTTGTTTAAAGATCTCTGCAAAGTCAGATCCAGTCTAATTAACCTAGAAGTATTTTTGTCTCTTAAAAATACTTGTGATTTTTATAATACAAAAGGGTCTTGACTCTAAATGCAGTTTTAAGAATTGGTTTTGAATTTAAATAAAGTTACTTGAATTTCAAACATCACGGGGCAGTGCCTTCATTTGGACCAAGACTGTTGGAAGTATCCTCCTGAATTGCTACAGCTACCCTTTCCTGTGAATGTTTTTTCAGCTTAGAGCAACCTGGTGAAGATAAAATATTTCAAATACAATAGGTTACTAGATATTTTAGAGGATTCACTTGTCAAACTTGTTATTCCAATTTGAGCTCAAGTAACAAATGAGAGAACAAATCCTGTGTATTTCATCATTTTAGTTGGCAAAAATTAATATTCTTCAGAAGCTTAGTACTCAAAATCGTGTGTGCTTTATGATAATGCAGTGGTTTTTTTTTTTTAGCCAAGGGAGTCCTACAGTAATCTTGGATGTTTCAGTAGCTCTGTGATGGAGCCCAAGGAGTATGGTTGTGCAAAATTTCTCTAAGTACACTTTTTGCAAGCAGCTCCCCTCAAAGAACGAAGATGTCTATGTTTGTGTGTGTGTGAGAGAGAGAGAGAGAGACAGTCTTTTTTTTTTTTTTAATTCTAGACCAGGACCACCAGAAATAAGACAGAGCCTTGCTCTGTCGCCCAGGCTGAAGTGCATTGGTGCAATCTTGGCTCACTGTAACATCCACCTCCTTGGCAAGTGATTCTCCTGCCTCTGCCTTCTGAGTAGCTGGGATTACAAGTGTGTGCCACCACGCCTGACTAATTTTTTGTATTTTTAATAGAAATGAGGTTTCATAGTGTTAGCCATGATGGTCTCCTGACCTTGTGATCCACCTACCTTGGCCTCCCAACGTATTGGGATTATAAGTATGAGCCCCTGTGCCCAGCCTAAGATGTGTTAAATTCCCCAGATGTTGGATCCAACCAAGAAAGTGAAAAAGCCCTGAAATTGTGAAGAAAGACAAAAACATTCCCACTAATAGCTGCAAGGTCACTGTGCTGAGAGTTACGAATTTTTTGCTGGGTACAGTGCCTCAGGCCTGTAATCCCAACACTGGGAGGCTAGGTCGGGCAGATCACTTAAGGTCGGGTTTGAGACCATCCTGGCCAACATGGTTAAATTCCATCTCTACTAAAAATAAACATGCCTGTACTCCCAGCTACTCGGGAGGCTGAGGCAGGAGAATCGCTTGAATCCGGGAGGTGGAGCTTGCAGTGAGCCGAGATCATGCTGCTGCACTCCAGCCTGGGCAAGAGTGAGACTCCATCTCAAAATACATATATACACATATATTTTTGGCTAGTTTGGTAGGAGGTTATCAGAATTTAACATTAGTGTCACCAAAGTAGATATATACAACCCCCACGGCTACATTTGGCTTTAGAAAACATCCTTTGTTTTTTTTGAGACAGTTGCTCAGGCGCCAGGCTGGAGTGCAGTGGCACGATCTTGGCTCACTGCAACCTCTGCCTCTCGGGTTCAAGCAATTCTGCCTCAGCCTCCCCAGTAGCTGGGACTACAGGCGCGCCCCCCCATGCCCTGCTAATTTTTGTATTTTTTTTAGTAGAGATGGGGTTTCATTATGTTGGCCAAGATGGTCTCGATCTCTTGTGATTCAGCCTCCCAAAGTGCTGGGATTACAGGCGTGAGCCACCGCGCCCGGCCAGAAAAAATATTTTTTAAAATTGCTTTATCATGATCCTTTTTCCCAGTGCATTTTGTGTTTGGTACATTAAATGACTGTTTTTTTATCTTTATTTTATTTTTTGAACTCTGCTTTTGAGAATTTGGTCCCAAGTCTAAATGACTGGTTTCTTTCTTACATTACTTGGATTGAGTTCTAGTTACTGGACGTGAGAATTAACCAGGTCCAGTAGTTAAATATTCATTTGCTTACAGTGTGTGAGTGGAGAAGGAAATAGGCTGCAAAAGAGCCCCATGAACCTTTGGCATGATGAATATATTTCCATCTAGATTGGTTCCAGGACGCTGTGCATTTTCAGAGTTCATCTATTTGTACTTGTGTATAAATTATATACCTTAATAACTTTTTTTTTATATAGTTTTGCTGGTTACCCAGGTTGGAGTGCAATGGTGCAATCTTGTCCCACTGCAACCTCTGCCTCCCAGGTTCAAGCGATACTCCTGCCTCAGCCTTCTGAGTAGCTGGGGTTACAGGCATGTGCCACCATATCCGGCTAATTTTGCATTTTTCATAGAGATAGGGTTTCTCCATGTTGATCACGCTGGTCTATAACTCCCGACCTCAGGTGATCTGCCTACCTCGGCCTCCCAAAGTACTGGGATTACAGGCATGAGCCACCGTACCCGGCCTAAACCTAATTTTTTAAAAAGCTTCATGTGCAACAAAGTGTTCCTTGTGGGCAGGCCTTTTACCTGGGCAAGGCCTGAAGACAAGCACAAATTTGTGGAGTTATTCAAGGGAAGTGCAGTGGGGTGTTGACAGCAGAGATTAAGAGTGTTATTCAAGGGAAGTGTGATAGTGGAGTGTTGACAGCGCGTGCCCTTGGAAGGCTTGCGCCTTGCAGCGGATTAAGATCTGGCGGCTCTGACTGCTGGTCCTGAGGCTGCGACAGACTCGGCTTCTGCCTCCCTGGGAAGCCACGTCGCCCTCTAACCCGATCTCTTTACTGAAACCACGTAGCCGGCTAGCCCTGGGCCTGACTCGGACCCAGGGGGGTAGGGACCCTAGGTGCTCGCCCACCATTGCCAAGGTAACCGACAGCAGACACAGGTCGCGGCTGCTCAAACAAAACCCACGGAGGAACACTTGATCGCTACCGCCCCGGAGCCCGGATGCTGAGTGACTAGACAAACGCTCCCGAAGACGCAACTTCCGGCGCGCCTGTTTCCGACACGCCACTTCCGGCGCACTGATCTCGCCTGGGGCGGGCTGGGTAGCGTTTAGGTGGGCCGTGCCATGCGATCTCTGGTGCTGCCAACCGTGGACGAGCTCTGGGCGTGCGGGCAGCGTGGCGCGGCGCTCCGGTAAGGTGTGCGTGCGTGCGGCGGGGCGGGGACAGAAGCGTCTTCTCAGGCTCTGGGTGTGACCAAGACCGCGTTCCCCGCGGAAATCAAGGTCCGAGTCATCCCTGTGGGGCATTCGCTCGCCCAAGTGCGGTTGGCCTCTTTCCAGAAGCCAGTTTTGTTTGTTTTATGTCTAAATTCGCGCCGGTTCTTATTTCTCTCCCTGGCAAGGTCTGAAGACGGGCAGAAGAATAACGTATGTAAAGGCGCGTAATGCCAGGCACTGTGCCAAACGTTTTATGATGCTTTTAGAACTTAACATGCAGGTGCTAAGGGAGTTTAGGGGCTGCGGTGAGCTGATAAAAAGCCTGTTGGGAACGAGGACTGATACTTTTAAAATGCTTGTTTTTACTTTTTCCTTCTTTTAGAATCATCTTTGCCAAGAATAAACGTTCGTCTCCCCCTTCGCTCACGTACCCGGCGATGTATTTTTTTTTTGCGGATATATGAATAGTTAATGTCAGAGGACGTACTTTTTTAAAAAGCCTAAATGCGAGTTACATGTGGCTAGATTCCCTCAAAAACTACACATATTGGTAGTTTGTTTTATAGAAGTAAATGCAGTCAGAATCACAGCACTAAAACCCTAGTGACGCAGTTTGATCCAATCGTTTTTGAAAAGTATGGAAATTAGCCTTACGCTAGTTTTTTCAATACTTGATTTCTAGACCAGGATGTAATCAATAAAAAGGGAGAAGAAGGGCCGGGCTCGGTGGCTCACCCCTGTAATCCTAGCACTTCAGGAGGCCAAGGCGGGTGAATGCGTCGGGAGTTCGAGACCAGCCTGACCAACATGGAGGAACCCCTGTCTCTACTAAGAATACAAAATTAGCTGGGCATAATGACACATGCCTGTAATCCCAGGTGCTATTCGGGAGGCTGAGGCAGGAGAATCACTTGAAACTGGGAGGTGGAGGTTGCGGTGAGCCAAGATTGCACCACTGCACTCTAGCCTAGGCAACAGAGCGAAATTCCGTCTCAAAAAAAAAAAGACATGAATATTTAGCACCAGTTCTTTAATTATGCTAGTTATTTTACATTGACCTAAAGCCACTTAAAACAGTTTGTTAATTTTTGGAATTAAGTATGTATAAAGTACTTAGAACAGCTGGCACCTAAAAAAGTACTAACCACCATTATTGTGATGAAGATGAATTTACAAAATGCCCTCCAAGAGAAAAATTAGTCTTTTTTTATGTTACCCTTATTGAAATACTTTTTCTCTTTTTTAAAGATATGTTTTTGAATTTAGAATTTAAATAACTTTATAATAAATGCCGAAAATATATTTGCCCATTTTGATCGTATAGTTTTGTTACTTTATGTAGGAAAAGTGGACAAATTAAAAAAATTTTTTTTGTTTTAAACAGTCTCGTTCTGTCACCCAGGCTGGAGTGCAGTGGTGCAACCTGGGCTCACTACAGCCTCTGCCTCTCAGGCTCAAGGGATTCTCATGCATCAGCCTTTTGAATAGCTGGGATTACAGGTGTGTGCCACTGCGCCCAGCTAATTTTTGTATTTTTAGTAGAGACGGGGTTTCACCATGTTGACCAGGCTGGTCTCAAACTCTTGACCTCAGATAACCCACCCACCTCAGCCTCCCAAAATTTTGAGATTACAGGCCTAAGTCCACACACCCGGCCTACAAATACAAATTATCTCAATTTAAATGTTTTTATTTTTCAAACTTATCCACTGTCTCTTAAACTGGTGACAAAATAGCCGTTATTTCACTACCACTCTCTGCTTTGAATATTTTGAACAAGAAACCAGGTTTTTATTCCTTTTGTTGTTGTTGTTGTTCTTTATTTAAAATTTATTGTGAGATAAATATTGTACAGTGTTCTGTTTCTTAAGGTAGGTACAGAAGTAATTAGGAAAATGAAATCACTACTTTCAGTGCTTGGCATAGGACAGAGAGGCGGGCACTTCTGGAGGCACTAGTATAGTACTGATAGCCAGGGCCTTATCCAGATTTACAAGGGGCCTTGCTCAGTGGCCTGTAATCCCAGCACTTTGGGAAGCCAAGGCAGGGGAATCACTTGAGGTTAGGAGTTCAAGGCCTGGCACAGTGGCTCACGCCTGTAATTCCAATACTTTGGGAGGCCGAGGTAGGCAGACCACTTGAGGTCAGGAGTTCAAGGCAGCCTGGCCAACATGATGAAACCCTGTCTCTACTAAAAATACAAAAATTAGACAGGTGTGGTGGTGCACACCTGTAATCCCATCTACTCAGGAGGCTGAGGCAGGAGAATAGCTTGAACCCAGGAGGTGGAGGCTGCAGTGAGCGGAGATCACCCCACTGCACTCCAGCCTGGGTGACAGAGTGAGACTCCATCACAAAAAAAAAGACTTCGAGACAAGCCAGGCCACCATGATGAAACCCAGTCTCTACTTTAAAAAACACAAAAACGGGGGAGGGGGGCTTGGCTATTAAAAAAAAAAAAAAAATTCATCGGGCATGGTGGTGCATGCCTCTAATCCCAGCTACTCAGGAGGCTGAGGCAGGAGAATCACTTGAACTCAGTAGGCAGTGGTTGTAGTCAGACAAGATTAACCCACTGCACTCCAGCCTGGATGACAGAGCGAGACACCAACTCAAGAAAAAACAACATATATACACAAATTTACAGCAAGAAACTTTACAGATATTTTACATTAAAAGGTTGATTTCTGTCCACAGGAAATAGGCAAAATGCTGATGTGAGTGTATTTCATTCCCTGCCCTCTTCTTTCTCCCTGTTAAACAAGAGTCTTGAGTATATGCTCCTCTTTTCCTTAAAAGTGGGAGCAGGGCCAGACACAGTGGCTCATGCCTGTAATCCCAGCAGTTTGGGAGGTTTAGGCAGACAGATCACGAGGTTAGGAGATTGAGACCATCCTAGCTAACAAGGTGAAACTCCTATCTCTACTAAAAATATAAAAAGTTAGCTGGGCATGGTGGAACGCGCCTGTAGTCCCAGCTACTCAGAAGGCTGAGACAGGAGAATTGCTTGAACCTGGGAGGTGGAGGTTGCAGTGAGCCAAGATCTTGCCACTGCACTCCAGCCTGAGACTCCATCTCAAAAAATAAAAATAAAAAAGCAGGAGCAGGGGACAGATAACACTGTGGTGTCAGTTGGTCCTGGATTTAAGTCCCCACTCTTCTTCCTAGTTTCTGTGTGACTTTGGAAAAAGTAAGAATCGGGGAATCTTGGTGGCACAATAAACTGGAATGTGATTCTTGATGAATGTCTTCACTCATTCTACAAGGACAGACCAGAGTAGATATTTAATACATACTGAGAATGTCTTCACTGTGTCACAGGCATATTTGGTTTTCTATATGCATATGCTTCTGACACAATGAAAATTAACAGTGAAGCATAAATTGCCCATTGCTAGTCTGACATGGCAGCCCAGAACTCCAATGCACAGCTCTAATAATCCTGAACTCACTGACTGTAATGCACCATTGTCACCTACAGACAATAACAGGGTTTTTTGTTTCCATACTCTAGCCGTATCAGCGTGTTATGATGCCGTCCCGTACCAACTTGGCTACTGGAATCCCCAGTAGTAAAGTGAAATATTCAAGGCTCTCCAGCACAGACGATGGCTACATTGACCTTCAGGTAAATGCAGAAGAGAACTGACAAGACTGGCTGGCCATGTTTCTGTTGAGTTAGCAGGAAGACCTCCCAGAGGGGCGTTTTGCTAACTGTCCCTAGGGATTAGGGGAGCAACAAGAAGAAAACTCAGCTCTGAGACTCTTTCAGCCGTAATTGCAGAAGGGGGCCTTGACAGGGCAGTTTCAAACCAATTCCAATATTGTCCATTTCTAAGAATTTTTAGTTGTAATGCCAGAGTCTTGTAATTACAAGTTTTATTTACTTTAATCCAAAACTAATCAGATTGTGTTTTGTTGAATGGAGTGTTTTTTAAGGAACTGTAAAATTTTTGTTAAGTGGAATTTTTTTTATCACTGTTTATTTACACTTTAGTCAAAGCCAATTCATCTTTTCAGAGTGTTTTTTAAACAAAAACAGAAATCTTTATAAAGTTGCTTATGATACAATTAATGATTTATGGAATGAAATTAGAACTAGAGACTGAGACTCCTTTGAGTAACTGTGAGAGCAATAACTAGAGCTTCATCTCTTGTCAGTCCCTTTTATTTCTCAGAACTGCGCTGGGTGGTAGGACATACTTAAGACACATAAAGCATCTAGTTTGGTTCTTAATTACCCTCCCATTTTTGTTGTTGTTGCTTTTGTAACAGGCTCTGGCTCTATCACCCAGGCTGAGTGCAGTGGTGTAATCTTGGCTTGCTCCATCTTCACCTCCTGGGCTCAAGCCATCCTCCCACCTCAGCCTCCCAAGTAGCTGGGACTGCAGGCACATGCCATCACACCCGGCTAATTTTTGTATTTTTTGTAGAGACGAGGTTTCACCATGTTGCCCAAGCTGGTCTCAAACTCCTAAACTCAAGTGATCCACCTGCCTCAGCCTCCCACATTGCTGGGATTACTGGCATGAGCTCTCCTCCCTGTTTTAAAGTGTTTGAGACTGGGTTTGATGGCTCACACCTGTAATCTCAGCACTTTGAGAAGCAGAGGTGGGAGGATTACCTTGAGCCCAAGAGTTCAAGACCACCCTGGGCAACTTAAAAATTAGCTGGGCATGATGGCGTATACCTGTAGTCCCAGCTACTTGGGAGGCTCAACAAAAGAATTGCTTGAGTCCAGAAGTTTGAGGCTGCATTGAGCTTTAATTGCACCACTGCACTCCAGCCTGGGTGACAGAGCAAGACTCTGTCTCTAAAAATTAAAAATAAATAAATAAAATGTTTGAACCCTGGTATTTGCCTAATGTTCTTCCTTGTCTTTTTCATCTCTGTTTCTCTTCCAGTTTAAGAAAAGCCCTCCAAAGATCCCTTATAAGGCCATTGCACTTGCCACTGTGCTGTTTTTGATTGGCGCCTTTCTCATTATTATAGGCTCCCTCCTGCTCTCAGGCTACATCAGCAAAGGGGTAAGCTGACGAGCATGTTGGAATAAGCTGTGAGAGCCATAAAATGCTAGCCAAGGCTCGTGTGTGTGTGTGTGTGTGCGCGCGTGTGCGCACGCGTATCCATTCATCCGTCGCAGTAGTCTATTTTTTTGAGACAGGGTTTTGCTCTGTCATGCGAGCTAGAATGCAGTGACACAACTTTTACCTCCCTGGGCTCAAGTGATCCTCCCACCTCAGCCTCCCAAGTTGCTGGGACTATAGGTGTGCACCACCACACCCAGCTAATTTGATTTATTTTTTACTTATTTTTGTTCATTTTATTTTTTTGTAGATACAGGGTTTCACTGTGTTGCTCAGACTGATCTCTAACTCCTGAGCTCAAGCAGTCTGCCCAAAGTTCTGGGACTGCAGGTGTGAATCACTACACCTGGCCAGTTTTTACAGGTATATGGTGTCTATACTTACGGGATATGAGAGGTATTTTAATACAGTCATGCATTCATAATAGTTAAATCAGGCTAAATGGAGTATCCATCACCTCAAGCATTCATCGTTTGTGTTACTTTCCAATTATACTTTTATTTATTTATTAATTTATTTTTTGTTGGTTTTTTTGAGACGGAGTTTTGCTGTTGTTACCCAGGCTGGAGTGCAATGGTGCGATCTCAGTTCACCGCAACCTCCGCCTCTTGGGTTCAAGTAATTCTCCTGCCTCAGCCTCTTGAGTAGCTGGGACTACGGGCACGCACCACCATGCCCAGCTAATTTTTGTATTTTTAGTAGAGACGGGGTTTCACCATTTTGGCCGGGTTGGTCAGTAATTCCCGACCTCAAGTGATTTGCCCACTTTAGCCTCCCAAAGTGCTGGGATTACAGGTGTGAGCCTCCATTCCCAGTCTTAGTTATTATATTTTTAAAGGTACGATAAATCATTCTCTAGTCACCTTGTGCTATCAAATACTAGAGCTTACTCATTCTATGTAACTATATTTTTGTACCCATTAACCATCCCCATTTCCCCCCTCTCCACCTTTCCCAGTCTTTAGTAACCATCATTGTACAGTCTTCATGAGTTCAATTGTTTTAGTTTTTAGTTCCCACAAATGAGTGAGAACATGCAAAGTTTTTCTTGCTGTGCCTGGTTTATTTCACTTAACATAATGTTCTCCAGTTTGATCCATGTTGTTGCAAGTGACAGGATCTTTCTGTTTTATGGCTGAATAGTACTCCATTGTGTATTTGTACCACATTTTCTTTATCCATTTGTCTGTTGTAGAACACTGGTTGCTTCCAAATCTTGGCTGTTGTGAATAGTGCTGCCATAAATATGGAAGTGCAGATAATCTCCCCGACAGACTGATTTCCTTTCTTTTGGATATATACTAGCTGTGAGATTGCTGGATCATATGGTAGTTCTATTTCATACTGTTCTCCATAGTGACTATATTAATATACATTCCCATCAACATTGTACGAGGGTTCCCTTTTCTCCACATCTTCGCTAGCATTTCTTATTGCCTGTTTTTTTGGATAAGCCGTTTTGGCTGGGTACAGTAGCTCACACCTGTAATCCTAGCACTTTTGCAGGCCAAGGCAAGAGGATCACTTGAGCCCAGGAGTTCAAGACCAGCCGGGGCACGATAGTGAGACTTCGTGTCTATATTTTTAAAAAGCCATTTTAACTGGGGTGAGATGATACCTCATTGTAGTTTTGATTTGTATTTCTTTGATTAGTGATGTTAAGCACCTTTTCATATACCTATTTGCCATTTGTATGTCTTATTTTGTGAAATGCCCAATTTTGATTGGATTATTAGATGTTTTTCCTATAGAGCTTGAGCTCCTTGGATATTCTGGTTATTAATCTCTTATCAGGTGGATACTTTGCATATATTTTTTCCATTCTATGGGTTGTCTCTTCACTTTGTTGATTGTTCCCTTTGCTGTACAGAAGCTTTTTAACTTGATGGGATCTCATTTATCTTTTTTACTTTGTTTGCCTGTGCTTTGAGGGGCATTACTCAAGAAATCTTTGCCGAGTCCAACATCCTGGAGAGTTTTAGGTCTTAGGAGAGTTTTAGAGCTTCATAGTTTTAGGTTTAAATGTTTAATCCATTTTCATTTGATTTTTATATATGGCAAGAGCTTTCAGGGGTCTAGTTTCATTCTTCTGCATATGGATATCCAGTTTTCCTAATACCATTTATTGAAAAGATTGGTTCTTGGCCAGGCACAGTGGCTCACTCCTGTAATCCCAGCACTTTGGGAGGCTGAAGTGGGTGGATCACCTAAGGTCAGGAGTTCAAGACCAGCCTGACCAACATGGTGAAACTCCAAAAATCAGGGGTCTAGTTTCATTCTTCTGTGTATGGATATCCAGTTTTCCTAATACCATTTATTGAAAAGATTGGTTCTTGGCCAGGCACAGTGGCTCACTCCTATAATCCCAGCACTTTGGGAGGCCAAAGTGGGTGGATCAGCTAAGGTCAGGAGTTCAAGACCAGCCTGACCAACATGGTGAAACTCTGTTTCTACTTAAAAAATACAAAATTAAGACCGGGCCTGGTGGCTCACACCTGTAATCCTAGCACTTTGGGAGGCCGAGGTGGGTGGATCACCTGAGGTCAGGAGTTCAAAACCAGCCTGGCCATCATGGCGAAACCCCATCTTTAAAAAAAAAAATACAAAATTAGCTGGATGTCGTGGTGGGCACCTGTAATCACAGCTACTCGGGAGGCTGAGGCAGGAGAATTGCCTGAACCCAGGAGGCAGAGGTTACAGGGAGCCGAGATGTTGCCATTGCTCTCCAGCCTGGGCAACAAGAGTGAAACTCCATCTTAAAACAAAAGACTGGTTCTTTCCCCAGCATATATTCTTTTTTGTATTTGAGACAGAGTCTCACTCTGTTATCTGGGCTGGTGTGCAGTGGCATCATCTCAGCACACTGCAACCTCAGCCTCCCAAGTAACTGGGACCACAGGTATGCGCCACCACACTTAGTTAATTTTTTTTCCTTTTTTTGTAGAGACAGCGTTTTGCCATATTGCCTGAGCTAATCTTGAACGTCAAACTCAAGCAATCCAGGAATACAGTGGTGTGATCACAGCTCTCTGCAACCTCAATCTCCCAGGCTCAATCGATCCTCCCACCTCAGCTTCCCAAGTAGCTGGGGTTACAGGTGTGAGTCACCATACCCAGCTAATTTTTTTGTTTGGTAGAGATGAGGTCTCATTATGTTGCCCAAGCTAGTCTTGAACTCCTGGGCTCAAGCAGTCCTCCTGCCTCAGCCTCCCAAAGTGCTGAAATTACAGGCTTGAGCACTGTACTCCACTGCACCCTACTGGCCATGTTCCCCGTTGTGTGTTAATTACAGTCAGTACAAGGTCCACCCTAGCCTCCCAAAGTACTGGAATTATAGGTGTGAGCCACTGTACCTGGTAGATGTAGAATTTTATCAGATGCTTTTCTAGCATTGATTGAAATAATCATAAACATATGGTTTTCATCTTTCATTTTGCTGATACAGTTATATCACATTGATTAATTTGTATAAGTTGAGCCATCCTTGCATCCCTGAGATAAATCCCACTTGGTCCTGATGAACAGTCTATTTAATGTGTTGTTGAATTCTGTTTGCTAGTGTTATCCTCCTTATTCAGGATTTTTGCATCAATGTTCATCAGGGATATTAGCCTATAGTTTTCTTTTTTCCATGTGTCTTTGCCTGGTTTTGGTATCAGAGTAAAGCTGGCCTTACAGAATGAGTTTGAAAGTTTCAGAACAGTTTCAGTAGGATTAGTATTAGTTATTTTTCTTCTTTTTTTTTTTTTGAGACAGGGTCTCACTCTGTCACCCAGGCAGAATGCAATGGTATGATCTCAGCTTACTGCAACCTTTGCCTCTCCAGGCTTACATGATCCTGCCACCTCAGCCTCGCTAGTAACTGGGACCACAGGTGCATACTACCATGCCCATCTAATTTTTGTATTTTTGTCGAGACGGGGTTTCACCATGTTGTCCAGGCTGATCTCGAAATCCTGAGCGATCTGCCTGCCTTGGCCTCCCAACATGCTGGGATTACAGGAGTGAGCCACCGTGCCTGGCCAAGTATTAATTCTTTAACCGATTGGTATAATTCATCAGTGAAACCATCAAGTCCCAGGCTTCCCTTTTTTTTCTTTTATTTATTATTTTTTTCTTGCCCGTCACTTCACAATTTTATGAGTCCCAGGCTTCTCTTTGCTGGGAGACTTATTATTAGGGTTTCAATCTCATTACTCCCTGTTCAGATTTTAGTTTTCTTCATGGTTCAATCTTTATTTTTATATTCATGTCTGTACAGCAGATTTCAGCAGAAAGAACAAAAAGATTTTCTTTTATATTTTGTTCTCTGTTGGCAAAACATGTTTTTCTTCCTTTGAGCAATAGTAAATTTCCATAATTCCAGTAAGGGAACTAGTGGCAGGTAGGCACACTTGGCCTCTGAGATATTAGACAAGTTTGCTCCCTGTCATAGTTTGGAACAACACGGCTGAGCCTGACATACAGGAGTCCTAATTGCTAAAGGGTGTAGCTGGAGCAGCATGCTGTCATTTTAGCTGTGCAGTGCCATGAACATACGGGTCAGTGTTTGGAGAGAAATAGTGATTCTGTTTATGTGGGGTCACAGTGCCTCATAAGTCAGTTCCTTCTTACCTTAGGTTTGGTTTGAGTTCCTGTTGAGCTTCTTTTCCTTTTTTTTTTTTTTTTAAATCATTCTTCAGAGTATACCTGTTGAGCTTCAATATGAAATCTTAGTAACCTAAAGTAGTTGGTGGTTCTTTCTCATGGGCTGTCCCCACATACACAGTGTCTAAGTTTTCTTGACCAATTCTGGCCATAGTTAACACACAACAGGGAACACAGCCAGCCAGGTGCAGTGGCTCAAGCCTTTAATTCTAGCACTTTGAGAGGCTAAGGCAGGATGATTGCTTCCAGCCTAAGCAATATAGTGAGACCTCATCTTTACCAAACAAACAAAATTAGTGGGGTATGGTGACTCACACCTGTAACCCCAGCTACTTGGAGGCTGAGGTTAGAGGATCACTTGACCCTGGGAAGTAGAGGTTGCAGTGAGCTGTGATCACGCCACTGTACTCCAGCCTGAACAAGACTCTATCTCAAAAAAAAAAAGGAAAAGAAAAACCTGAAAGGCTAAGAAAAACAGTTTTACTGTAGTAGCATCTATACGATTACAAAGGTGAAAAGCCACCAAAGTGTCCAGCAGCTGTGTGGGGGGCAGTTAAGTAAAACTGTGTACATTCATTTCAGTGGAATGTTAATACCATTATGGTTTAAACATATGAAGAGGTTTTAATAATATTGGCTACAGGACACAGAGTATGGTGTGTTTACAACTAAGAACTTTTAAAAAAGGGAAAGAAGCCAAAATATCTAGTTGAGATTGGGTCATTCTTTATAATTGTTAGTGCTTTGTAATTCTCCTTCAATTTCTAATAAGGAGGAAACCTTTTCCCTTGGTAGTGTACAACTCAAATAAAATGTACTGAAAAGTATAAAATACTTATCTAAAGATTAGGTCTGAGACTTTTTATTTTAAAATGTGTAACTCTTAAGAGTACTAATGTGTTTGCCTCCTTCTGCCACCAGGGGGCAGACCGGGCCGTTCCAGTCCTGATCATTGGCATTCTGGTGTTCCTACCCGGATTTTACCACCTGCGCATCGCTTACTATGCATCCAAAGGCTACCGCGGTTACTCCTATGATGACATTCCAGACTTTGATGACTAGCACGTACCTCATATCTGAGGAGAAGAGTCACAGTGGGACTGCCCCAGCTTTAAGATACTGAGCAGAAACTCTAGATAAGGGCTAAAGAATTCTGCATCTTGCAGATGTTTAAGTAAACAATGGCCAGATTTTATGGGTTCTTCCCAAAGATGTTAACTGAGCCTACAGTTAGCTAGTTAGGACATGACCTGCTCTGTTTCTCATCCCTTGGCCCTGGCAAGAGCTCCTGACAAGTTTTTCCACAGGAATATTATCATGGAAGAATAGAGGTTATTCTGTAGTGGAAAGTATTGCCTGTCACTGCCCTCGGTAGAGCTGAGCATTTCTTTTAAATAGTCTTCATTGCCAATTTGTTTCTGTAGCAAATGGAAGAATGTAGTATGGCTAATTTCTTACTACTAAGTAATTTATTTTTAAAATATCTGAGTATCTTGGTTGGGCGCAGTAGCTCATGCCTATAATCCCAGCACTTTGGGAGGCCAAGATGGGCAGATCATAAGGTCGAGAGTTTGAGACCAGCCTGACCAACATAGTGAAACCCCATCTCTACTAAAAATACAAAAAAATTAGCTGGGCATGTTGGTGCACACCTGTAATCCCAGCTACTCGGGAGGGTGAGGCAGGAGAATTGTTTGAACCCAGGAGGTGGAGGTTGCAGTCAGCCGAGATCGCACCACTGCACTCCATCCTGGGCAACAGAGCAAGACTCCATCTCAAAAAAAAAAAAAAGTTGGAGTATCTTATCCTCTACACTTACCCCTACCTTCATGTTCCAGTGGAAGACCTTGGTAAAAATCAAAGATTAGTGAATTCAGTAATATTTGTTTTATTTGCTTTCTTATTGACAGCAGCCAGGAATGTTTTAGCCTGCACAGCAAGTTTTCAAAATGTAAATACTTTCTCTGTTTAATAGTCCTTGGCCCATTCTGATCCAGTTCACCAGTAGGTTGGACAGCATATAATTGGGGTCATTTTGTCCCTTCTAAATCAAAATGTTCTGTAGATGATTCCTTTAAGGGCAGGACTTTTGGCTGTTCCTAGTGAAACATGTAGATAAGCATTTATTAGTTAGAGTTTATAGCCCTGTTGCTAGCACCTTGTATTATGTCATTATTCTGGTCATGATTGCAAGGCTCTGCCTGGATGCCTGGAGCACTGGATTGCCTTAGTTTGATTCTGTTTTTTAGCTTGCAAAAAGTTACTTATATTCCAAAGAAATTAAAATGTTGAAATCCAAGTCCTAGAGTTAAAATGAGTTAACTTTAAACATTTCAGAAAACACTTCAGTGATTTTATGGTATCTTTAATCCCAGTACCCAGATCTACCTTAGTTTCTAGGTAGCTGGCATTGTGAGTCACACTACTTTCCCCAACCCTGAGGTTAAGGACTTGGGCAACTAGAAGCCTGGCCATGCCATCAGCTGAGATGGAAGGCTATGGGAAGAGCAAGTTTTAGATGTCTGCTCAGTATTCAAATGGAGCTGTCGGGGAGGCAGTTGAGTGTGTCTAGAGTTTAGAGTGGGTCTTATGGAAATAGAAATTTGAGAGTCACTATTTGGACAGTATCTTAAAAACCAGAGTGCTATTTGAGATCACCAGTGGAATGAGTGTACATGGAGGAAGAAAAAAGGACCCAGGAAATAAGGGACGAAGAGGGGGTGACCTGAAGCAGCCTCCAAGATTAGGCACTTTTACTAATGGGAATGTTTGCTGGGGAGTCCAGTAGTAAGTTGCTAAGCCTTGACAGTGAATTGTGAGGTGATACATAAAGCTTTATCTTGGGGAGTGGTTGCCTAGCAAAGCTCAGATCAGAAGGTTTTGGCCAAACCAAATGATTTGGATTGATTGATTGATTGATTTTTGGAAACACGGTCTTGCATTACCGCCCAGGCTGGAGTGCATTGGCACAGTCATGGCTCACTGCAGCCTTAACTCCTGGGCTCAAGTGATCCTCCCACCTTGGCCTCCCAAAGTGTTGGGATTACTATTATGAGCTACTGAGCCTGGCCGGTTTGGTCGTTTTTTTAAAAGTTGAGGCTGCTGGTCAAAATAAATAAATAATAATGGAACAGAAGGGTATAAAGTGAAAAGTAAACATTTGGGCATGGGGTGGAGAGTGTACATTTACTCCAGCTTACCTTTCAAGGTTTTCCAAATAAATTTTTTTTTTTTTGAGTTGGAGTCTCACTTTGTCACCAGGCCTGGAATGTAGTGGCTCGATCTCAGCTCACTGCAGCCTCTGCCTCCTGGGTTCAAACTATTCTCCTGCCTCAGCCTCCCAAGTAGCTGGGACCACAGGCAGGCACCACCACCCCCAGCTAATTTTTGTATTTTTAGTAGGGACGGGGTTTCACCATGTTGGCCAGGATGGTCTCTATCTCTTGACCTCATGATCCACCTGCCTTGGCCTCCCAAAGTGCTGGGATTACAGGTGTACTGTGTCCAGCCCCAAATAAATTTCCTAATATATCCTTTCTGAAATGTTCTAAGCACATAAATACATGTCTGATTTTTAAAACTTAGGCTCACATTCTATGGTTCTATAATTTCTCCCTTCCCCCACTGATTGATTTTGTGTATCTTTGCATATCCATGGAGATCAGTCATATTCTTATTGATGTACCTTATAAGTGTAGTTTTTCATCCTGTTTATTTACTAGTCATAGTGTCAGAGCAGAAACCAACTTCCTACATGGAGTAGGAATCTCCTCTCCAGAGTCCCCTGAGGAATGGCCTTTGCTGCTCTATTTGAATATTCCAGCTGGAATTGTTAAGCAGTATCATTTATTAAGCCAAAATCAGACTCCCTGTAATTTCTATGCTTTGGCCATAGTTGTATTTAGTGTTTTATAGAAAAGACCTAAATTCCTACAGCCATACTACCCTGAATGCTCCTGACCTCATCTGATCTTGGAGGCTAGGTAGGGTCAGGCCTGGTTAATATTTGGACAGGAGAAAACATCTAAACCTATGTAATAATGTTGAACATTTCTTGACCCCTTTGCCAGATAATTCTGCCAAGTGCTTTTATTACATATCTCATTTTAATCCTTAGAAAAATCCTGAGTTAGGTAAGACTCTTAGGAAGTAAGAGAGATATTTAGGATTAAAATTAGGCAAAGCCTGGGCCAAACATGACGGCTGATGCCTGTAATCCCAACACTGGGAGGCCAAGGCGGGCAGATCACTTGAGGTCAGGGGTTCAAGATCAGCCTGCCTACTAAAAATACAAAAATTAGCTGGGTGTGGTGATGGGCACCTATATCCCAGCTACTCAGGAGGCTGAAGCAGGAGAATCACTTGATCCCAGGAGGCAGAGGTTGCAGTGAGCCCACATCACACCACTGCACTCCAGCCTGGATAACAGACTCCATCTCAATAAAAAATAAAATTTGATAATAAGGCAAAGCCTGAATTCCCTTTACTACCCTGATAACCAAATGCTTTTAGGTACGGGACCAGTGAAGAAATGGGGAAGGTGGGTGTGGAAAATAGAAGTAGTTAGGTGACTGGTCAGCTGTCAGATGTATATTTTACCTCAAAGTAGCCGCCTCCCCACTCCAAAGTATTGGCCAGACCATATACCCTAACTTTTTAAAAGGCTGTTCTTATTTGCAGCAACTATTCTGCCTCCTGTTCGTCATTTCCAAGGCTAAAAATCCTCTCCAGTTGCTTCAGCTATTCTGCATATGATGGAAATTTCAGATTCATTGCCACTCTGGCGAGTCTCTTGGATGAGCTTCATGTGGTCGTATACCAGAGGCACTTCTGCTAGGAATTGTGTGTTGCTAGAGGTACAACAGGAAAAAATAGCACTTTGGTTGTTTGTGCTGCAAACTAGCAGCCACATACTGGCCTGCATTTGAGGATTGGTCGATTGATTTTATTTGTTTATTTTAATAGAGACAGGGTTTCACCATGTTGGCCAGGCTGGTCTCGAACTCCTGACCTCAGGTGATCCACCATGTCTGGCCGAGGATTTACTTTTTTGATTTAATTGTTCCATTTTATTTCTTACCACCTATCTCCAAGTTCTGCACATTTGTTTCTAAAAAGTGAAATGTTCACATGATCTTGATTTTGGACTTCTCTTGAAAAATCAGGTAGTCCTTCATTACTGAGAGGCTCCAGCCAACTAGAGCAAGGTAGTGAAAGCTTTAGCTCAGCAGCATTCTCCAGGTCTCCAAAGTTTCTACCACTCTGCTACTTTTAGATCCAGCATGCTGGTTTTACTCACTAAGGGCAAAGACTATGTCTTAAACCCTCCCACCAAGCCTAGCACAGTGCTTATCAGCACTTAGTTTGTCAAATGAAGAGCTGGAATCTTGTGTGCATTTCCATCCCAGGACACTGTTCCTTTGAGGTATGGACAGGTAGGCGAGTACCATTTACTTCAGACTTTTCTAAATGGCCATCCGCCAGCTGCCTAGCAGGCCAGCTACTTTTCAAACAGTTGGTGCTGCCTGGTTAGTCATGCCTCTGCATGGCACCCTCTGCCCAGGCCAACGAGCCCAGTTAACAGCCTACCTATACCAGCTAGCACAGGAGAGCCTCCTGCCACTGTTGTATGGTAAGGGAACCTGCTAGAGGGATAATAACACAGCACTGGCTTTCTGCTTACCTGTGGAGGGTGATATACCAATCAGTGCACCGTAGTTGCCTTGATTTTTCATTAAATTCCAATCCTGAGGCTTCTCTCCTAGATTTGGCCCTGTAGGCCCCTGGCCTCACAGGTACGTAGTTCAGTGATGTGGCCTCAGTTTCCTTGTCTTCTAAAGTGGTGATAAAACAATTCCTACCTTACAAGGTGGTTGTAAGGACTCAGTAAAAACAGTTCCAGATCGTGGTTTCACACAGCCTGGCACAAAGTAAGCTGCCGTTTAAGAAAATAAAGAGCATCACTCCTTTGACTTCAGGGAGCAGAGCCTGGGATGAGGCAGAGGTGGAGGGGAAAGAGACCATCTGTTATCCTAGTGCCATCCTGAACCTGCTGTTTCATGGCAGAACCACCCCAGAGCCACTGGCAGGGGCGAGGGTTGATTGTCTGCCCAGCCCAGGCATGGCTGCTCTTCCTGACAGCTGCCAGTGGAGGGTGTTAGGAGGTCTCAGGCCCCTGCCGCTTTGCCAGCATGCAGCTGTGCCTGGAAGGCTGTGTGCTCCAATCCTCTGGAAAAGGTGAAAGGCCCTGCAGGGAAATCCTTGAAAACAACGTTTTGTAGCTGGAGTGCAATCAGATCACCTCTCATGGAGCTTGTTTTTCCTCCCTATTTTTTCATCTCCCTTTTCACCTCCTTGCAGTCTTGCTCCTTGGAACTCAAATGCAGTCTGGTCTGTGGACCAGCAGCATCAGCATCACTTGGGAACTTTGAAAAGCAGACTCTTGGGTTCCTCTCCTAAATCGGTATCTGCATTGTAGCAAGATCCCTACATGTAAAGACCCCTACCTGATAGTTGCATGTCAGTGTCAGAAGTGCTGGCTGATGGGGGCCCACTTTCCCTCCTAGTCCATCTTCTCTCACTTTGAGACTGGACCTCCTCAGGCAGTGCCAATGGGTGGCCCTGGGGGTGGGGCACTTAGAAGGTATAATCCCTCCTCTTTGATCCACTATTATTCTCTAGTTAAGACAGTCACTCCCAGAGTCTGCAGAGGCTTCATAAAAGTGGCAGAGAAACAGTGCAGTAAGACTGTGAAGATTTTTGTGATCAGCGAAAAATCAAAACAAATCCCAAAGATGAGGAAGGTTGATGGCAAGAGTGGAACATGCATCAGTGCCCTGAAGGCCCAGGGAAGGGGACAATGTATAATTTATGACCTAATGAGAAGCAGGATAGGTTTTCTTTCTGTCTGTGTGAGGCAGGCCTGGTGGCTCAGGAGTTGATTCCAATCGATTGAAGTGCTAACTTGCCTCCATTCTTTTATTTCTCTCACTAACACAAGAGGAGCCACCTAGAAAATGCTCCAATCTGTAGGTTAAAATTTCTTGGCCAAGATGCTAATCCTTCAAGAGGGTTTTCTCTAGAATTAATGTCTACAGACTGGGCACAGTGGTTCACACCTGTAATCACAGCACTTTGGGAGGCTGAGGCGGGCAGATCATGAGGTTTGGAGTTTGAGACCAGTCTAGCCAACGTAGTGAAACCCCGTCTCTACTAAAAATACAAAAATTAGCCAGGTGTGGTGGCACACTCCTGTAGTCCCAGCTACTCGGGAGGCTGAGGCAGGAGAATCACTTGAACCTGGGAGGTGGAGGTTGCTGTGAGCC